GCGATCTCGGACGGCCCCCGGCGCTCCGGCAGGGCCCAGGGCGCGCCGGGCCCCACAATTGCGGTCGGGTCCCGGCCCCCGGCCCCCGGACCCGGTCCCCCGTTATATACACACGCGCGCACGCACGCACGCACGCACGCACGCACGCACCCGCGCACCCACACACACACACACACACGCACACACACACACACACACACACACACACACATACACACACACACACGCACACACACATACACGCACACGCACACGTACTCGTACACATACACTCACATTCACACACTTACACATTTTCGCCCACGCTGTAATCGAGGCGACTCGTTGAGGGGGGGGAGTCATCGTGGGTTGGGGGGGGTTGCAAGTCTGCCCTGGGACGAGAGCATTGGACCCTCGTGGATACAATCGTCCTTTCTTCACGGAATGAAGCAGGAGACGGGGGAGTGGGGAGGGAGGATAGAGGAAGAAAGCACGGCATAAGCATAAACTGTTCGAGGTCCGCGCGGATGTCTTGAATCTGCGCTGAACCCTTCCTGGCGCGCGGAGCGCGTCAGGGGCGGCGCCGATGGCGCCGCCAGCAGGTTCAGCGCAGATCCAATAAATCTGCGAGGAATTCCGACAGTTCATGTTCATGCTGTGTTTTCGACTTCGAGAGGAAGGGGGCCAGGGCAGGCGGAGACCGTGGGACGGGGGGTGTGCCGGAAGGGCGACCTCGCTCTCCTTGCTTGCAGAACTCTTTTGGCCGCCGCTCCGCCGAGCACCTGCAGGACCTCTGAGCCGCGGCCCACGTCCAAGAAGAGCACGCGGCCGGACAGCGGCCTCACGGCGGCGACGGCACCAGTCAATCGCAGCAACGCGCCTGGGGAGCCGCCAACTTCAGAGGGCCCAAATATCCGAGGACCTATTTTTTTTCAATCCAGATATTTTTCCCAATCCCGGGTTCTCGTAGTGCTGTCTCCACTCTCATCCTCCGCCACATCGTTCCTCTCTCCTCCTGCCTCCTGCCTGCTCCTCACCCTCTCCCCTCCTGCATTCTGCTTGCCTCCTGCCTCACCGTCCTGTCTGGGGATCCGCTGGGGGCCTGCGATGCGCGAGCCCGTCGCCACTTTCGAAGGCTGCTGGGGGGGGGCAGCACAGTCGGCGGACGCGGATCCAAATCACATATCGCCGTCCCTGGGGGCCACGAGCTGCAATGCCATCGCCATTTTCCTGGGCCGTGGGCGGGCCAGCATATTGGATACGAGGCGCGGACTCTGATTGGACCTTTCCGTCCCTGGGGGGCTTCGAGCTGCGAAGCTGTCGCCACTTGTCACTTGCGAAGGCTGCTGGGGGGGTGGGGCTGTATAGTGGGCACCAGACGAAAGCTCAGATTGGACCTCGCCGTCCCTGGAGGGCTGCGACCTGCGAAGCGAAGCTGTCGCCGCGTTCGAGGGCTGCTGGGAAGGGGCAACATACGGGTTTCCAAGCGCGGGCTCACAACGGACCTCGCAATCCCTGGGGGGCTGAGAACTGTAAAAATAACCTCATTTTCGAAGGTTGCCAGGGGCAAGAGCGTGGATACCATGCGCGGGCTCAGATTGGACCTCGCCATCCCTGGGGGGCTGTGCCCTACGAAAGTGCCGCCACTGTCGCGGACGGCAGGGGGGAGGCAACATACTGGGTACCAGGCGTTGATTCAGTTTGGATATCGCCGTCCCTGGGGGGGTGCGAACTGCGAAGCTGTCGCAGACTTCGAAGGTTGCTGGAGGGGCCAGCATGGTGGGTACCAGGCACGGTCTCGGATTAGACCTCGCCATCCCCGGGGGGCTGCGAAATTCAAAATTGTCGCCACTTTGTTGGCGGTTGTGGGGGTCAGCACAATGGGTACCAGGCGCGGGTCCAAATTAGACCTGGCTGTCCCGAGGTGTGGCAACTTCGCAACGGTCGACCTTCTGAGTGGGGATGTCCCGCCCTTGGGGTTCGGAAGCCGCCGCGGACTCACAAATATGTTCCAACTCAGAAATTGTTAGTGTTCTGTTTGTTGCCGATTCGTTGAACGAGCGCAGCATTTCCTGAAACAGCGTTTGAAAAAAAAGGGTTGCACCACCACCAATCAACAGTCGAGAACTCGATGGGTCGCACCGTTTTCAACTCATTTGCGAAGCTTTCGCTGGCTCGCGATTGATGGGTGGTCGGCACAGGCGTCGGCCAACGCTGGGCCAGCCTGTTGGGGCGTCAACCGCGACGGATGACAATATTTCCCACGTGAGGCTTACACCACGCGTCGCTCGTACCTGTTATTCGCGAGTCTCTGTGGGATCGGGGTGCGCCACAATCCCGCTAGCGTTCAGTCGCACTAATTGAGTCCCAGCTCTTCCCCCTCATCCTATCCCTCAGCCCCTTCCCGCCTCCTGTTCCTCCTCCCCCTCCGCCCCTTCCCGCCTCCTTCTCTTCAGCTGCGCGTCCCATGCTTAAGCAGAGGTGCGACCTACGCCGGCCAGAATTATCTGGCCAGCTTGTGACCAGCTGCTCCGTGACCTGCATCAAAGCATGATCGCCTTTTGACGATCCATCGGGCTTCGCCTCAAGCGTCGCCCTGCCCATCGCAATGGCCGCAGGAAGCGTCATTCGTTGTTCCGCGATGTCTGCTGGGGCTGCACGAAACGGCCAACGCGTGCAAAGGACATCTGGCATGCCCACGAATTTGCCGTCGAACTTCAGGTCGCGTTTTGCACGTGGCGTAAGGAAGTTGGACCACGAGTGTTCTTACTTGATCGACGTCGAAAGCACTTCCATGGTCGGGGCCTCCTCCCTGGTTTCATTGTTCGTTTTCTTGCTCTCGGCTGCCTTGTCCTTATTTTGTTCCTGGACCTTGCGCTTCTTCGGAGCTTTCACCTCTGGGACGCACCACGCTGGAATGAAGCAGTCGTCGTCGAGAGAGCCGAATCGCCCCGCCTCCACGAACAGGTCTTGGCCGAGTGCAATGACGGCACATTGATGAGCACGCGTCGCGCTCGGCCCTGGTGATGTTGCCAGCGAAATTCATGACCATTCTCGAACTGGCATCGTACGCTTCCGCCGGGCACTTGGCAATGCCATGCCGATGTGGAACGGTCACACGCTCTTGCTTTGAACAACACTTGCCTGTCAGCGCGGACAGGGTCGAAGTAGCCGAGCAGCTGAAAGCGCGATGCACATGGTGTTCCATCGCCACCATGCAGCTCGAAACGTTTGGCCCAACTACGCATGCGGAGCCACCGTCTGTGGTCGTCGGGACACACTGGTTGCTCACCCAAAGGATCGTCATCGGAGTCTCTCCTGGGAGTATCAGGCTTGAAGGCCCACTGTGCGCCACGGACTGGACAGACTCCTTATTCCAAGTCGCCCTGAGCTCATCTGCACCGAAGCCTGCCTTAGCCTCGCGCTTCGCAGCGATGGCACCGAACGTGTCGCAGAGGAACTTAACCCAGGATTCTTCTTGGGCTGAGACGGATATGCCAGATCACCCCGCAGCCCCAGGAAGGTGAGGGGCGCTCCTCCTCATCAGCTGCGGATGAGGAGGAACGCCCCCCGTCGACCTCATCTCCCACCTCCCTGGGGGCGCGGATGATCCGCATCCCCAGGGATGGGGGCGCCGATGATCCGCATCCCCCTGCACGGGCCCTCCGCCACCGTCCCTGCCCCCTCCCAGAGGCGGGGGGAACGGAATATCCGATGCGAAACCCACTTCGCTTGAGTAACGTCGTAAAGCTTGCGCGACTGGCTCAACGGGAAATCACCCAACTCCGGGCTGGACTTGGCGTCCTCCTCAACTTCTCGCAATCTCCGGCGATCACCTTGGATGCACCGCCCATCATCACCACCCACAGCTCCAGCGCGCACGCCCAGCGGAGCCTCGCAGGTCTGAGCGCCTGATGCCAGTCGGGGAAGAAGCCAGTCGATCGATCGTTTGCGTTGAAATTGGTGTACTCCACGTCCCTTCCGGCTTCAGGGTGGTTGGCAACGGCCGCGGTCACCCCGAAAAGCTCCATGATGTTGGCAGGGTCAACATCCTGGCGCGACTCGTACATGATCTTGGATGGGTCCTCCATGTTGACGTTGTCCACCACCCTATCGCCAATCGGCGCAGCCAGGGTGGTAAACGAAGGGTGGAACGTGGAGTTCACCTTCGCATAGTTGGAGGTGGAGAACATGGTGGATTGCGTCAGGAGGTGCGGAGAAGACCAAGCAGGCCATTGAAGAACTCTGCACAGACAGCGTCGCGTTGACTAGATGATTTACCAGCTCCGGACTTGCCTCCTGCCTCTGACACAGCAAGCGGCCGCATTATTCATCCCCTCCTCGGCAAGGTGTTCCGCGACGTTCGGATCGTTCGGGTCAGACACCCTGAAATTGCCAACTGGACTTCGGCCGTCGACGAAAACCGACTCGGGTTCTCATCACTTTATCTTCCAGCTCCCCTCGGGCTCCCCGAGCGCGAGCGCGATAGATTTCATGGACTTGGGGCGAGCGGGCGAGCATTGCATTGAGATGTTAAGAATATGTCGCAGAGCCTCTGGAAGTCGCAAGATGCGATAGAAACTTCAAGAACACGTTCGCCACTGGTAGCGAATCCATAATTGCATTGGTGTGCGCGCTTGAATTTCATTACGTTCGTTACATGTCTGAAGCACCGTCGTGCTGCCATCCAACCAGACACCGGGCCTAGGCGGCCGCGGACGACCAGGTGAAAAGGCTCGGGGAAGGACGACGACGAGGCCGTGGAGGAGGAGGAACAGGAGTAGGAGGAGGAGGAGGAGGAGGAGGAGGAGGATGAAGCTTCGTCTGGCATCCATCTAGACCCACGAGCTCCCCCCCCCCCCACATGCAAACCCAACTACCATGAAGTAGGATGTGGACTGGGACGATCTTGGACGCCCCCACTCTCGAGGGCGGTAAAAAAGGAAGAATTGTGGGTACCAGGCGAGGATTGGGACTGAACCTCGCCATCTCTGAACGTCAGCGAACACTGCAATCGTCGCCACTTTCGGAAACTGCTGGGGGGACGGGGGGCAGAATAGTGATACCATGCGCATATCCAGACTGGACCTGGCCATCCCTGGGGAGGTGCAAACTGCCGGGCACTCGCCACTTCTGGGGCTGCTGGGGCGGTTTGCAGAATGGTTGGTACCAGGCGCAGATCCAGATTGGACATCGCCATCCCTGGGGGGGGGGCTGCGAGCTACGACACGGTAGCCGCTGTTGGAGGCTGCGCGAGGAGGCAGAATCGTGGATTTATGATACGCGACCAGGAACCCGATTTTCTTTCCAGCGGGCCGCCCGCAGACTCGGCGGTGCGCCTCCAGGCGGTTAGCCCCCGCGCTGAAATGCGCGGGAAAGAAGCGGAGAGGCCGGCAGGCGAGCTTGGCCACGATCGCTTCCTGCAGCAGTTCTAAACAATTCATCCTTCGAGGCTCCAAAGCGACGTGGCGAGGGCTGGGGTGCTTATCAGCGTGCCGCTAACAAAAGAACGCCGCCCTCCTTTTCTGACCCCGCCTCCTCGTTGTCGTCCTCTTTTCCCTTCCTCCGTCGACCTGCTACTGCCGCGCTGACTGTGCGACCCCCCTTCCCGTCCATCTCCTGTTTTTCGTTCCCGCCCCCATTCCTCTTCGAGCCTGGGGCCTCACCCCTCGTTTCGCACCGCTGCCGTGGGAGCCTCGCGACGCGCGCATCCTGCGTACCATCCGCCACTGCTGGCGGTTCATGCGTTGTCACCGCCTAGAACAATCATGCCACCTTTTCTTGTCATGTGGTGGAAATGGGCTGGGACAGAATCGCACACACTCGATTATCAAAACTCATCGGTGCCCAAAGATATCTTGCAACAGATGACACGCTACGTACACGCGCGCGTCGTCGAACGCGCATTCGGGAATGTCGGCCTGGCCCCGCATCGGGCGCTCGGGCCATGGCAACTGGGCCCAGGACGGACAACGACCACCATATGGAAGGGGTCGGGACGCCTGGGGCCTTGGATTAAAACAAAATCAAGTCGCCTGCTATCTGGGGAGCCCTGGAGACATCGAAGATCTACTGGCCTGGGCCGATCCAAACCTTGGCCAGTCAGTCCTTGCAGGACCAGTCATCAATCCTTGCAGGATCCCGCAATATCCTGCAAGATCTTCGCTGTTGGTAAGATGCATCGAAGGGGGCCAAACGCATCTCTGACCTCAGGGAAGAAGTGCATTCCAATTACACCCCCCGTACTCTCAGTGCTGGCGCATGCCTCTCGAGAGCGGGTCAAGTGCAAACCGGACCCATGCGGTCTTAACGAATATCGCGTCGATCTCACGTTGATCCGCGCTAACAAACCCAAGGGGGGGTTCGGGTGGGCGAACGTTTAGCGCCGAATGCGCTGCGTGCCCAAATGGCACTCGTAACATACTCCCGTAAGAATGAAGCCAAAAGGAGCGAATACAGCCGTAAAGGCCTACAAAGAATAAGGAGCGCAAAGTCCGGTGAACACCCTATGCAATCGTCAGCCATTGCGCATGTCCCGGGCGGACACGACCCAAAAGGCCCAGTGGCAACGCGGGGGCATGACCCCCCCCGAGCCACGGAGGGTGCACAAATTCACCCTCCAGGCCGCCTGCGCCAGATTGGGGCCACAATGCCCCGAAGCATGAGCAGCTACAGATCTCAGAATACTCGAAAGGCTTCGCCTTCCTTCTGTTATGATATATCTTCGCTGTTGGTAGGATGCCTTACCCCGGCATCGAGGGGGCCAAACGCATCTCTCACCTCAGGGAAGAAGTGCGTTCCAAGTATACCGCCCCGCAGTGCCCCCCTCGAGGCATCTTTTTCTCCGATATGAAGTGAACACCTTGGCGGCACGAACGCCGACTCTCGAATTGCATCGCAATTCAAATACAACAAGACACCGACAAGATGCTGGACGACCGCTTGCACGCAATGGGTGTGTATGTCGCTGATATGTTTTATGCTTGCAGGAATTGCAAGTGAATTGCACTCGCAGTGGTGTTAGCATACACCGACGCCATGGTGTCGGATGAGCGCCACCCGCCTTGCGCTTGAACGAGGTCTGGGGGGAGTTTGGCGAAATGGGTGTACCACTCGGCGCCACCGCGCCGCAAAAAATGCGAGCTGGTGGTTGGGACTTGAAAGTAGGCGGCGAAAATCTTACGCCAACAATCAGCAGTAATCGGTTTCGTTTGGGCCCCGGTGATGCAAAACAGAGCGGGTGCGAAATTGTTGTCCATGTGGCGTCGAATGTAAAATCGCGCTTTGATGACACCTGCCAGGCTAAACCCGCCGACCTGACACGATGGAATCCAACATGTCTGGCCGATTTCAAATGGGTTGTTCTTCTGCAGTCATTCTCGGAACGTATGTCTGCTGTAGTGATGGCGATCGCTTCGGGTATGCGTCGCAGGCCGAAACCAAATAAGACTGCCATAGCTACGTCCCTGCTGCCTGCAAGTGTGCCTGATTTTTGGCGTCGGTCGAGGAAACCCGTCAATTCGTCGATTGTGATTGGCCGTTTTCGGTGCGAGTTGTGGTCCGCTCGTTTCTTGATGCCCTTCCAGAACTGCCTTGATCTATCGTCCCAGCACGCATCGAATACACTACTTATGTTGTGGCACGCGTGGCATGCCCGCACGGCGGCTTTATTGATCTGAATCGTGTTCCAACTCATGCCGTCCATCGGCGCAAATAAGATCATCAGCTTGCCTGGTGTGTCTAAGGGCAATAGAGAGTCGTCCACGACTTCCTCTGCACCCTGCACGTGGACACGCACGCCCCTGAGCATGAGGCCGCCTGCGCCAGATTGGGGCCACAATGCCCCCAAGCATGAGCAGCTACCGATCTCAGAATATTCGAAAGGCGTCGCCCTCCAACTATTCAGATCAATATTGCAGGATCCTGCGCCCTGACCCAGGTCAGTGCACCCCTGGCTCTGCAGGATCCTGCAAGATCCGGCGACCTGAAGGAAACCCCAGTTTGCAGTGACCCCCGTCTAAAGACCACCGAAAACAACTCAGTCAGCAGAAACCGGTAACAACGAGACGATTCGTGCCCAGGTGGTGGCCGCATCGATGGGGTAGGAGCATCTTAAAGTGGCCCCGGGACACACAAATAAATAGACACAAATAATAACATTCCCCATATTTTCCCATACTGTCTGGGTTTTCGTCTTCCCCCCCACTTCCCATATTTTCTCATTTTTTGTGTAGTCGAGGATGAATTGTGTCTGTGTGTGTTTTTTTCCTCCTGGCATCGGGGGTTCGACGATCGCACTGCGTCGCCGATGCGTCGGCGACGTCGGCGTGGGCAGAATCCGGCTGCGGATCGCGCCTCCTCGGTGGCGTGTCGGCGGCTCGGCGCGATCCTCCGACCATGTTCGCTCTGGCCCCACGCAGGTGGCCTGGACAGGTGGAGGCTCATCGAGGCTGGACTTCCCGGCCAGCCATAACTGGGGGAGCTGTGGTCCTTACCCCCCTGGGGCAACCAATCGCATCAACGATCTCTCGAGAGGGGTGTCGAAATCGGTGGGTCCCCCAGGGGGGTAAGGACCACAGCTCCCCCCAGTTGTGGCTGGCCTGCCTCCAATAGCAACGTGCTCTTCTGGCTAGGAGGGCGCGCCCGCCCCTGCCCGGCTTCCAAGGGCTCGCTGTGCACTGACGCCGGTCCTGGCTGGGTCCATCCAGGGCTCCACGGGTTCGTGCAGGAATCCGGTGAAGTGAAGGAATCCAGCTGACGATGAGCACAGTCAGATTCAGTCCCACCAGGCGTCGGCCCTCACCGCATTGCCAGCTTCAGGAGATATAACTCTTCCAATTACATTCTTCCCTGCGGGGGGGGGCCCTCCCCGTACCTTCTACCCTGGGGTCGGGACATGGGTTTCGCGACGTGTCAGAGCGTCCAACACTGAAATTATCCAAGTGGCCCCGTAGCCTCCCAAGATCACTCCTGCTCGCTTTCCACGCGCTCTTCAGGCCCCCCAAATTCGGGGGCGTCCAAGACAGGAGGTGCCCATCCTGGCCTGAACCATGTGCGCGGACGAGGAGGGGACCAAGGTACGCAGGGAACTAAGAAGAGATGGCCATGAGGTCCGGGCACATATCAGGGCCCCACACACCCCCAGTCATCATCCCCCTCCTGGCCTCCCCCGAGAGACTGCTCCACAATCGCCCAAGCGAGTCCCAAGACGGCCCTGTGGAGGTCGATCCCGAGACGCATCTCGGATTGGCGTTGGCGCGTCGTGCTTGGACGGCTCCCCCGAGCGCCCGGGCACGGCCCTTCGCCGGGCTGCAGGCGGGGCCCGAACTCGCGGGCGAATTCCTCCAGCGGAAGGGAAGTCTGGGTGCGGCCGGGGCCCCGCTCGCACGGGCGGCTCGGGGAGCTGCCCCGCGGGCCCAGGGCGCGACCGGAGCCCTGCTGGCGCGGGCAGCCCGGGGAGCTGCCGCGCGAGCCCTCCTCCAGCGGCAGGGTGCGGCCGAGGTCCTGCTCGCATGCGCCGTCTGCTGGAGGTGTCCAACGGGGGGCCAGATCCCAGCGCGCAGGCCAGTGCTGGTGGCACCCCTTTGGGCGCGCCCCAAAAGGGAACTCCAGCGAGGAGTCACTCTCTCCCGCGCAGCCGACAAAGAGGGGGGGGGGGCTCGTCCAGCCGCCCCCGTTCCGAAATCACCGACGCTCGATTGCCCTGGCCGCATCTCCCTGCGGCATTGACTCGAGCAGCATCGATCCGCAGTGGCCCCACGGGGGTGAAGCTGCGCGAAGCCGAGCAGGCGTGGGAAAAATGCAGCGCCAAAATCCTAAGAAGATCTGGGCTCTCCGGCCTTCCAAGGGGGAGGATGATGATGAGGAGGAGGAGGTGGAGAAGAAGAAGAAGTAGGAGGAGGAGGAGGAGGACCCCCGTGCGCTGTGCGCTGACCGATGCCCCCCGCTGGAGCCCTCCAGGTCCGAGGAGCTGGCGCGCAGGCCCATCGGGCCACCCCACGGGCGAAGAGCCAGAGCTGCTGCGGGCCGGGGAGAGACGAAATCGTCGTTGTCGTCGTCTGTCTTTGTCGTCGTCGCCGTGGTCCGTGGTCCGTCGTCCGTGGTCCGTCGTCGTCGTCGTCGTCGTCGTCGTCGTCGTCGTCGTCGTCGTCGTCGCCCGTCGTCCATCGTCCGTCGTCCGTTGTCGTCCGTCGTCTTCGTCGTCGTCCGTCGCCCGTCGTCAATCGTCGTCCTTTTTCGTCGTCGTCGTCGTCGTCGTCCGTCGTCCGTCGTCGTCGTCGTCGACGTCGTCGTCGTCGTCGTGGTCGTCGTCGTCGACGTCGTCGTCCGTCGTCCGTTCTCGTCGTCGTCGTCCGTGGTCGTCGTCGTCGTCGTCGACGTCGTCGTCCGTCGTCCGTTGTCGTCGTCGTCGTCGTCGTCGTCGTCGTTCCTCGCCGACGTCGTCGTCCGTCGAAGACGTCTTGTGGACTGGCGCCACGCCGCGGCTCCCCCGCAGCCACCGAGGAGGGGCAGGCGGAGGGAGGCCCCCGTGCAAGGCCCCGTCAACGGCAGCCTGGCTACACCATGCCGTGAGCGCGCCCGCGGGTCGAAGCCCGCCCTAGTCCCTGTTGTTCCCCAGCTGGGCGACGACCCAAAAGGGGTCTCACGCAAGATGGCATAGCGACCTCACGCGGTGGCTCACGCGGGCCCCGAGAGTGGCACGCCACACATTGGAGACGAGGCCGCTTACGCCCGACAAGCACGCGGCCAACTTGCGCACGAGTGTCGGCGCAGACGACCCCGTTGTTTTGCGCCGCTCGGCTGTAGTCCCACCAGCCCTTTCGAGCGGCAGGTGGTGTAGCTCAGCCTCCTCTTCAGACCCCGCTCTTCCCCCCTCGGGGAGAGGGGCTACCCCGATTGCAGGGGCCTGGTCTGCAGTGTCCTGGTGTCCAGGGCCCTAAGCCCCCTACAGGAGGTCCCCATGGGGCCAGGGGGGGTGCCTCCTCCAGCCACCGCCCTGTGGCAGCGGGGGGCCGCACAGAGCCTTGTCACGCACATGAGAGAGCTGAGGATTCGGGGCACGACTGACGAAGGTGCGAGGGTGATTGGAGTCGCTGTTGATCTTCTCGAGGCCAAGACGAGGGCGAGGAATGAAGCCATGGATGATGGAGTACACTGTAACATCTCTGCCAATCGCTGCCATAGCACTTTCAGCTGGGGTGGCCGAGCCTCGCAGAATGTCCTGACAACCAAATGTGCTGCCCCGTCGAACATCTAAACCGAAGACATCGGCCGTGCAATGTCATGGATCTCCACATTATTCCAATTCTTAGCGAGCATCACGCGCGTGTGGGAGGGAAGGAAGGGGAGTGAAGAAGGACGGAAAGAGGGGGATTCGCAATATCCGTAGCCGAAGGCTTCCTGAGACATTCGAACTTACCCGCTCGCCCAGGCAACGAATATGAAGAGGGACAGAGCGGGACAGGGAAGACGAAGCGGAGGCAGGGGAGGAGGAGAGGGAGGAGGAGGGGGAGGGAGGGAGGGGGGAGAGAGCGGGGAGGAACACAACACTGGGGGCAGACAGGAGCAGGAGGGGCTATGAGAGACGGGCGGGAGGGGAGAACGGCCTACACGAGGTGAGCGCGCCCAGAGGTGAAAGCATCTGGTGGGGGGGGGGGGGGAGCAAGAGGGCGGGGGAGAGGAAGGGAGACGGAGGCGCGGGGACGGGCAATGGGGGCCTTGGCCGTCTCGGGGCCACACCGAAGCCTCAGAAGCCAAGCCGGAGGCGACGAGGCCAGAAGGCGCAAACCACTGATTCCCCCGTAGGTGTTCGAACGATCCGCTGGCCTCTCGAGGAGGCCACAGGGCAGGGGGCGGGGAGGGTTCTCATCATAGGGGGCCACGCGTGCGGCGGGGGCCTGCGCAGGCGGCGACGTCCGAAACCACCCAGGAGGAGGAGGAGGAGGAGGAGGAGGAGGAGGAGGAGGAGGAGGAGGAGGAGGACGAGGAGGAGGAGGAGGAGGAGAAAGACGACGACGATGAAGAGGAAGAGGACGAGGAGGAGGACGGTGAAGAGGAAGAGGAGGAGGAGGGGAGGAGGAGGAGGAGGAGGAGGAGGAGGAAGGATGAGGGAGGAGGAGGAGGAGGGAGGAGGAGGGAGGAGGAGGAGGAGGAGGAGGAGGAGGGGGAGGAGGAGGAGGACCCCCTCCCCCTCCAACTTATGGTGGTGGTGGTGGAAACAGGCCCATCACAGACACCCGCGCGCTCCTCGGCCGTGGCCGCTTCTGGGCCGTGGCCGCCTCTGGGGGCAGCCAAGAGGTGCCCCGATACCGCTGCTCCCCAGACCTCTCCCGGGGAACGCTCGGACCAGAAGGTCGAGGCGACTCCGGTGGCTACGGCGAGGAAAGGGCAGCGGTATGGGCACCCTTTCCTCCCCTGAGACACTCGGCGCCCCTCCAATGGGGACTACACTAACGGGCACGTTGGCCAGTGACCCGGCGAACCCAACCCTCCGCGATGTAGGCAACGCTGCAATGCCGGATAGAGGCCCAAAAGGGGCAATCCGTTAGTGAATGCCCGTTCGTATTACGGTGCCGCTGGTGCACCCGTGCGCCCCTCGGCCGGAGCCGCCTCCCCCCCCCCCCGCGAGACGCCGCCCACCCGAGGGGCCTGGGCGCGCGGCGCCGGAGGGCGGGGGTGCCGCGCCCGCGCGCGCCGCGCCGCGGAGGGGCGGAGGGGCATCTGCGTGCGCGGGGTCGGGCGATGGCGGCGTGGCGCCTCGGGGCCGCCTCTTTCGCCAGCGCCTCTTTCGCCAGCTACGGGACGCACAAGGACATACTGGTACGATGCGTCCTCCTTGGAGGCGTGCGCCCGACCCGAACATGTGGTAGAACCGTCTTGTGGTAGATCTTTTCCCGAACGGTGTGGCCAAAACGCGCCCGCCACCGCGCATATACTGTGCGAATTCTCGGCGGGCGCGTCCCCCCTGGGAGGCCGACGCACACATAGTATTGGTACGTTGGCTCGCCGCCGAAACTACACTTGAGCAGGGACCGACCGTCCTGGCATGCCTGTAGGCCTACCACGACATGTTCTTCGAACCAAAAACACTCTAAAACCGAAAACGAAGTTCTCAGGACAGGAAGCCGATGTGTGAAAACAAAACAGCCCCAGCCAGAAGTGCTCTGAGAACCTTTCGTGTAAACCTTTCGCACCTGCCTGACACACGCCAGAGCTGCACGCCAAGAAGGGGCCCAAGGCAAGCGTGGCACTCCGTGCACGGCTGCGGGGCGCCGCGGGGGAAGGCCAGATCCAAGCGCGCAGGCCGCTGCGGGGGGGGAGCCCTCGTGGGCCCGCACCAGCAAGGCCACCCTGGCGAAGGTCACCCCCACGCGTAGCCACTCGAGCGACGATCAAAAACGGGTCTTGCGCGAGGTGTCGTAGCGACCTTACGCGGCGCCGTACGCGGGCCGCCAGCGCGGCACGCCGCATTTGAAGCGAGGGCGCTCACGCGCACCCTTGCGCGGGAAGCGTGCGCGCCGATTGCGGCGCAGACGGCTCCGTTCTTCTGCCTCGCTGCCTCTCTTATTTTTTCTTTCCTCGGAGCAGCGCTGTCACGCGCGTGCAAAAAGGGCCACTGCCGTCGCATCCGTCCTCCGCGCAACCCCGATATGTGCCTGTACCATTGGGGGCCTCTGTGCGTGGCCCTCGGGGCGCCGCCCGACCCGGGTCTGCTGTCTGGACCGGCTCTGGAGGTCACTCGGGGACCAGACTCGGTCCACAGATCGCCCCGTCACGAGGGAGACGAGAGGAACGAGGGAGGGGAAGAGGAAGAGGAAAGGCAAAGAGGACAGGAGGAAGGGCGGTGGTCCCGGTGCGGCCCAAAATTCAGGACAGGCGGAATTCGACTAGCCGCCAATTTCTCCCATCAAAGGACACCGAACGCAGCAGCCACGGCAATTGCTGCTGCAATTGCCGCGACAACTGCGCAAGCATCGCTCGTATCCCAGCGAAGGTGAACGGATGAGCGCAACGTCGGCGCCAAAGATGGATCTTCGATCTGATTCGTCCCCCTCAATGGCAGCTCGCTGACCCCGTGACGCGTTGACGCCCGGTACCATACGATGATGAGCCCAATTGCGCACAAGGACAGGGTCTGCCGCAATGCTATTGGTTGCAACAGTCCGCTAAGTAGGGGCGCAAAGTGCCCCTGTCTAGATTCGGCTCTATCGCCCCCCTCCATACCCAGTGGGGCAGGGCAGCTTGGGTAGCGGGCAGCAGAGTGTTTTGCGAATGTGGCGGCGACATCCCAGCTGGACGCATTCAGCTGACCAAGCCTATCGTGCTGCGAAGTGCATCGCCCACATGCTCCAGAGAAGAAGAGAAGCACGTAACGTCATAAGACACTTTGCTGCTTAGGCACCACCTCCAGTCCAACCGGCGGGCACTAATCGGACGTAACCCCGGCCGGCCCCGAGGTCGTTTCGCTTGAGAAATCCGCGCGACACGCGCAAGAGTGATGCGCAAAGCCGCGCTTCTGAGTGGCACTCTCGCTTTTGGATCGGCCGCACTCCTGCCTCGGAGAAAAGAAATCCTACGGGCGGTGGCCGAATGTCTGCCTCGAGGCGACATTCTCGCGTTGGCGGCGGCCACGTCCCTGCCTGCGAAGGTGCTGCCCCCGTGCGCCGTCCGCGTTCTGGCCTCGAGGCGAGCCTCCTGCCTTTGTGCCCGCCGCCCTCCTGCCTCGGAGGGGCACTCCCGTCTGAGCGCCAGCCACACTGCTGCCTCCGAACAGCCGCAGCAGCACTAGCAGCAGTACCAGCATCAGTGGCATCATGAGCATCAGTACAGCAGCAACTGCAGCACCAGCAAGAGCCAGCAGTGGTCGCAACCAAAGCGGCAGCGGTAGCAACAGTAGCAGCAGCAGTAGTAGCAGCAGCTGCAAGACAGCAGCAGTAGCAGCAATAACCAGCAGCAATAGCAACAGCAACAGCAACAGCAACAGCAGCAGCAGCAAGTGAAGCACTAAGAGCAGCATCAGCA